TAAGACACCTGTGAAATGTCAAGGGAGAAGGGAGCCAAGGTAAAGGGGAGCAGTTTCACTGCGAAAATTTCTCCGAACGGAAATAAAATGTCAAAACGTTTCACTACAATTCCGAACGATGTCTGACGCTGATTTTATGTAAGTAACGATGATAAAATAGTGATAGATGGATGTAGAACGGAACGTGGAGTGAACTTGATGAAGAAAAGGAAAAAGAGGAAAAAAGTCGAGAGAAACGCACTTGAGGAACGCAACCCGATGGTACACTCTTAGTGATTTCATCGATTGACAGCGTTGTTCGACCAAAGTTATCCTCTACGCTGTTGATCAGATTCGAGGCGATCATCAACTGAAAATAGCCCGAGATTATCGAGTAGTAAAGTTGACTACAAGGAACTGAGCCCTGAGCGTAAGAGATGATCCTCTGGATCCGTTTATGGCCACTCAGCTTAGTTCCCGATCAGAATGGCTACGGAACGGTTCGATCTACCTTCCTTATATGGGTCCCATGCTCTGATCAATCAATAAATATTCAATCTCATCGATAAAGACTAAGTTCAACCAGGCCTGCACTTTCCCATGGAGTCTTCCTGCTAGAGGCCTACCCAAGTCATTGCCGTAACTCCTCTATCTGATTTCATTACCAGAAACCTATTCCTACAGCCTGATCCCGGTCATTCGTGTACCTCTCCTACCCATTCTTCATACTAGAGGTCCACTCCCTTCAGGAACTGTCCCTGCCCTCAAAACGGAAAGGGTAGAAAGGTAAACGGTCGGGGTTTCTGATGATGTGAAGTCATAGCCTTGTCTTCGACTCACCTCGGCCGCATGCTGCATATCATTCCGAACGGCAGTGCAACTAGTAACTCGTTGTACGGTCAACTGTTGTAGAGGGACATCAACAGCCACAGACCTTTCCGTCGACGTCGTCGTCGGCTGTGTTGGTACTGAAAAATGACGCTTAATGAGGAATTCCAAACATTCAGCGTAGCCATTCTTCGAAAACCATAACAATGTTGTTTTCATTCAATGTTTTTGTTTACTGCTGTTATTTCGCCCCGACACAACATGTGAGAGTCACATGGGGATGGCGATTCGTGGGCAAAACTTTGACCTCAGACAGGACTCGAACTCAAATTTGAGCATTTCGGGCACCAAGCTTTTTATCTCTAACCCTACCGGGGGCCGATCTTTATCCTCTTACTGCCAAGACACTTGATCTTCGCGCCACCTCCGGGGTACCCTCTCCTACCATGGCGCTACCTCCATTCAAGAAAAAAGTCGCTTACTTTTGGAGGGTTGAGCAGCCGGTCCCTTCGACCTCGGGTAGAGGACTCGAACTCGCAATATCCTTTCCCAAACCCAGTATTAGTCACTGCACTATCAAAAGTCGGGGCATTTTTTTCCGAATCAGTTCTCAGTGGTCCAAATAGCAAGCAAAGTAGATGAAAGAAAAAGTTCTCTTCGAATAACAACTACTAAATATTAATAATATAATAAAAATCAATTATCAGAAGTCCCAAATGGTCCAATAAGAAAGGGCCTGGCTACAAAACGCCCATTCTTAACTACGAAGTACTCATTTGAGTGATGAGGTTCATTGAGAGACCGTTGGTAGAACAGGTCTGCAAAAAAGTCCGGTAAGAAATCCACCCGTTGTTGATGTCAACGTCAAGGCTACTTAAACACGTCACACACCTCGTTCTGCTACGAATACCCATTAAATAAGATGAATTGGCCAATAACAAATGTAATTCCCAAGGATTACAAAGCTTACACACCCCCATAAATGGCGTGTTTTAATTGCGGTTCCGAACATATTAACAGGTAAATCAAAGTAGAAGGTCACGAATGCATGGCGCATTCCGACAGAGCTAATTCTATTCGAACGGTCATCTGGTAAAAGTGGCTCAACGCCGAATTACCTTTTTATAGTCGTTCACCACTTCTAACTATATCAGCTACAATAAACTGAAGAGAAATAAAACTTTCCTGGTTGAAGGTAACTTGAGATAATTTGAGATAATATGTGATAACTAAAGATAATAAAAGATAACTCAGGATAACTAGAAAATATCCATTATAAAACAGCTTCTATAACTAATCAGGTTGGCGTAACTCTTAAAAAGAGCTTCTATAAAACCTCGATTAACATTATGCGTAAAAGGCAAGTAATGTTTTCAGCGTTGAGCAAACGTTGAGCCATGCCTTTGACTATTGTCTGAAATTGCAATCGTGGTGGAATGCCAACTGCTTTTGCCTTAACCAGTTAACCACATAGTGAATCAGTCTTACACCTACAGATTGAGTTTTTATCATTTAGAAAGGGTCCCTCACCAAATAAGTAGTATAAAGGGGAAAGATTGCTTACTTAGCCAGGGCGAGTCCTTCCTAGATACTATACTTAATAGTGAGACTAGCCATCGGTCACAGAGGATCTAGTGGATTTGCGACCAAACTTCTTGAGCACTGAATGAAATACTTTTCAAGAACTCGACCCTCTCCAGTCCCCTTCTACCCCTTCGACCCAAAACTTGTAGCCTCGGCTAGTTCCCGTAAAGATTTCTCGCGTAACGTCCTCTGCTGTCAATACCGGTCATTGGCATGTTCCTTCATTACTCCATCACAGCTCAAAAAGGTTTATGGTTTTTCCTGAATGGAAAAAAATTACTGTAACCGCGACCGTAGACAGTATATAAAAAGACGCTCAAAGTTTTGCATCACAACCAACCGAAAATGGTTGTGAAAAAAAAGAACCGAATAGAAATAAAAACGCCTTTTACACAACGACACGCACCCCATCGCTTTCCAATAAAAGTGAATGACTATCGCAATGCAGGTCTGAACAAAGAAATGCTATGTTCACTCAGTTTTCCAGCTCAGAACTTGTCCCACTCGCTTTTCAGGGCTTTCTTTCTCTGCTAATAGCTTCATAACTTATCGGTCACTCACTTTCTACTCGAAACAGATTCTTTCAGGTTCCAGGATGTAATTCTCCGACCAGAATCAACAATATATTTTATTGAACGGAAATTGCTTTGAATAAAACTTTTGGATCCGCAAAAGAGAAGAAATTGGGGGTGAGTGTCATGTACACAG